ACAAATGAGAGGGGGGGGGCGGAAAAATACATGCGGCCCGTGGGCGGCAAGTAGGTAAATCCGGCCCTGAATCTCGCCCAAGAATATTCTGCCGGTGAACCGATGTCATGTATTTGTCATACTTTTTCAGCGTAAGTATCACATCTGCTGATCGTCAGCTCAAGTTTGGTATAAACTTTGTGCGCGTTCAGTTCGGTAAAAAAAACTTTCCTCACTGGTAAAAAAAAACCTCTTGGACCAATGCCGCGGTGCATTGACTTAAGAGTGCAGTTTCTTGTCGCCGGATTGAAGAGTCTTGAACTCTTGTTTCAAGCGGCTTTTGCATTGATTGAAGTGGATTTTGCATTGATTCAAGCGGATTTTGTATTGAAGCAAGAGTCCAGACTCTTAAATCCGGCAACAAGAAACTGCACTCTTGAACCAAGAGGTTTTTTTTTTTACCAGTGAAGGAAATTCTGACGGATCTCAAAAGAACTCTCAAGTTTTTCGTCAAAAGTCACTGCCTAGACACAATCTTAGTGTTGAGAGATGTTTTTATGTTGTATTAGTTTCTTTTTTAATGTGCAAACAATGAAATACTGAAATAACGGTTCATAGTAAAAATAAAACTACAAGGAAGGCCGAGATATATTTAATTATAAATATGTTGGGACTCCTCCTTACGTTCTTAAAAAAATGCGACCCCGGATCCTGATTTAGGTGGCGCCAAGGACCTGCCAAAACTCTCGCCAGACGGGCAGAGGCGGAAAGACCTTTTCAATCGATGGTTTTTGACAAATTCCGAGTTACGACGCGTTCGGTGCGAATCCGACGCGCAAATAAAATAACGACGAAGCCTTGAGATGACAGCTGGACGTACGTATTTGAAGGAAGAGGCAACGGTACCGTATCTGCGCTCCCAGTGGTGGCGCTCGCCGACTTTCGCTCATCTGTCAAGAGATACGCGCCCGAAGGTCCTCGAGCTCTCGGACACATCTCCGCCCACAAAATCAAATGCCAATTTATTTTTAAGGGCAGCCGCAGATTCGCGCGAACCCAATCAAATCGGCCGCACAGAAGTAGGCTAATCGGAACCAGGTCGCCGTTTCAGCCGTGGGTGTCAGATAGGCGTCGTAAACGTCGTTATTTTTCACGAGATGGTGTGGATCAAAGGTGGTCATGTAAACATGTAGGGGAAAAAACTACGGAACGCGGTTTTTTTCTGGTTGGATTAATATGCGCTGAGCGGGTTGACGATTGTTAATTTTTTTTTTTTTTCAAAACCGGTTCAGCCATTTTGGGGCTCACCACTGGAAAAAAACACATTGGATCTAGAGTCCAGACTCTTGAAAACATTGACAAGAAAAAGTACTCTTGATTCAATCAGATTTAAGCTTAAATCAAGAATCAAGCCTCTTAATTCAAGCGGATTTCGTTTTGATTCAAGCAAAAATCCGATTGAATCAAGAGTATTTTTTCTTGTCAATGTTTTCAAGAGTCTGGACTCTAGATCCAATGTGTTTTTTTTTTCCCACTGACCCCTCCGGTTGATAGTAAAAGCCGGGGTAAAAATTGAAATCCACCTGAATTCAACGAAATGGTACCCAGATAAAAATAATCCAATCACGTGATAGGGTTGGATCGGGTTGGATCGGATCATCTCGATAAGCATACTGAAATTGACAAATATTGCCTCAAATCGAAAAAGGATCAACAGAAAAGTCAACGGAAGAAAAGGAAAGTTGGTCACATTTTAGTGTATGAGAAAAACCTTGGCTTAACCCTTTCTCAATGGTGAAGAAGAATGAGAAAGTGACCTCCATGTCGGAAGAAGGAGAAGAGTTTTGTCTCAAGAAACACTTTTTGACACTGCTCCACAATGTGAATTCAGTTGAGCAACTATTCGTGTTCCTGCGTTGTGCTGGTTGCCTACTTGAGCAATTGCGGGCGTTTTATTCAGGGCCAATTTTCATACATTGTGAGTGGTTGCTGATTGTATCTTTCTGATGCTTTAACGTCAGTCTACGACGTGTATATTTTAAACTATGATGAGGATGTAAATTTATTATTCCCAATTATTCATGTGGCTATGTTTTACAAGTAGATATGGATGTGTGCATAATATATGTATTTGCGAAGAATTTTGCCACTCGTGCAGTTAATTTGTAAAAAGTAAAGCGATAGGAATCACCGTCATTTGCCGAAATATGTCCTCTCTAATCTTCAGTTTTTTCCTGTTTCACCTAGGGGTAAATGAGCAATATAGCTCTTTCGGCGCAAACTAATACGCGTACCATTTATTCTGTGTATTGCAGATTTATTCGTGATCGTGGACCCTCCAAAATTTAGCAACCAGTCATCATTATACCGCAGTTGGCAACGTTGCAGAGACGTTACGTTCCATCTTAACAGTAAAGAGCCGCAAACCATCCGAAAGTAGATTGAAAAGGCATCAAGTTTCGCAATTCAACTGCCCTTGACGTAAAGTTCAGATTGATTGACTTTTACCGATGAGTAAATCAGTTTCGCACATTCTAACGCATGATCTGATAGAAACTCCATTATTAATAAACCTAGCGAGGAACTTTTCTTAACTTATATTCACAAATAAGAGCGCTCCAACGAAAATAGTATCGCCACGTAAGTAAGTGCATATCTTCTATTTAAAAATTAGTGCCGTCCTCAAATCACGTGCTTTCTGAAAGAATATCGATGGTGAAACTATACCAGACCACGTATATCGGTTTGCGACGTTGCAGAGTTCCTGCTAACGTCGATTCTTGATAAAATCCGTAATTTCTCTTCTCTGTGCAAAAAGATCTCCATTAAAACTTCGTGAAATGATTTTGATTTGTTTTCTTACAAAAAACAAAACAAAAAAACAAAAAAAGAAGAAGAAGAAGAAGAAGGGGAGATTTTCAAACACCAAACGAGATACATGGTCTGGAAGTTCCACCGTCGATTATCCTCACTGAGAACAAAAAACGAATTTCCACTGTTGGATGTAATTCCAATCGCTTAGCTTAATGCCAANCCCGAAAAATGAAGGGGCATTCATACACGATTGCATAACCCGCATATTGAAGGGGCAACATGCAATACTTTCTTTTTACACCGTTGCCATATTGAACAATAATCCCTATACAACGCTGTAATTTAATTCGTATTTTTCTGCACAATTTGGCTAAAAACTTTTGCGCTAAAGTCGCTATTTTTACCCTACTTGTTGGATGTAATTCCAATCGCTTAGCTTAATGCCAACTCTCTGTTTTGAAAACGTGAATTCAATCGAGAATTCATTCGTGTTTCTGTGTGCTATGCTGATTGCCTATGTCAAAAGTTGCGGGCGTTTCATACGGGACTGTGCGGTATACGCGGCTAATGTCAGACAGCTGAGAGTCTCAGCCTGAGACAGCTTGATGAACTTTAAAAATGAACAATTAAACATTAGACCTAACTCAATTTGGCTATTTGAGCTATGATTTCTGTGCTAAAACGGCAACAAGGGATCAGTAGATCATGAAACCAATGCAAGGATGCGATGTGCCGGATATTTAAGGTGATTCGATGGACGCCATATTTTGTGTCAGAACGGCATGCGATATTTCGCATCGATCGGTTCCATTTTTTCAGCTACTCGCCATTTTTCTCAATTTTGAGATCGCAATCCTGTCGTCAGGAGAGTAAAGCACTCACTTACCAATTTTAACAAAGAAATTCAACGTAATAAAGGCGTGGTTTTTTCAGAGAGAAAACATTGCATTCGATACCGATATCGAAACTGCACTCGAATGCGATATTTTCTTTCTAAAAAAACCACGCCTTTATTACGTTGAATTCCTTTGTTAAAATTAGTAAGTAAGTGCTTTAGTCTCCTGACAACAGGATTGCGATCTCAAAATTGGAGAAAAATGACGAGTAGCTGAGAAATGGAACCAATTGATGCGATATATCGCATGCCGTTCTGCCTCAAAATATGGTGTCCATCGAATCACCTTATAAACTTTAAAAATGAACAGTTAAATATCGGACCTAACTCAATTTGGCTATTTGAGCTATGATTTCTATGCTAAAACGACAACGGGGGATCAGTAGATCATGAAACCAATGCAAGGATGCGATGTGCCGGATATTTAATCGCCGCACCGTCTGCCCAACGCGCCGTGTCCGCGCTGATTATATTCGCGAATGACAATTAGATCGATGAGTGATGTGAGAAAACTTTGCGCATTAATGTGTTTACGCAAGAGAATTCACACAGGTGGACCGGAAAGTCGTGTCGTGATGAAGTTCCTCGCGTTGACACCCATCAGTGACTTCGCCGCTCTGCCAACAAGAAACCCTAACCTTATTTTCTTGAGAGCTATGGAAAACGTTAAGGTTAAAGTAATGGAGGCTCACCTCAAAAAGTATTTACGTCTTTTTGTCAAGACTTGACACGCAGTCACCGTATCAACTTGGTTTACACGAATCGGATTAAGCCAAGGTGAGGGTTACCTACCTCGAGGAAATCTCTGATTATGTATACGTACGTCGCAGGTAAATAGTGAAATCAGGCATTTTGTCAAATGCCCAGGCAGATAGCTAAATTTTGATCGTCAACAAAATTTTGTGAATTTATGGCGGAGAGCTCACAAATTTTCAATATTTGTGGAAAAATATCTGATCAAATCTACAAACTCTTTTTGTCTCTTCCTCTTAAATTGCTTCTCGTGTTTTTAATAGTTAAAATTCTAAGAATGCTGTATTCTCTGACATGCTAAAAGTTTCAAGATAAGTGTCTACTCGGGAGCTAAAAATCGTTTAAAATACTATTTTGTGATGCAAACTTTTACTAGGAATTTTTTCTTACGGGGCCAATTAATTATTTTGTCTAAAATTAGAAAAAGAATCAGAATTTCAATCTTAGCTGGAATATTTGACTATTTGCCTAGGCATTTGACGAAATGCCCGATTTTACTATTTGCCTGCGACATATACACTTTGATTGAAGAAAGTGAAGATGTTATTTGATTCCTCACCTGGGTGAAGTCAGCGCCGATGAAGGCCTGTTCCATGCCGATCCATACCGTGATTGGGATCAGCAGTTGTTGGTAAGGCTTCTTCAGCTGGTATGCTGTTGCTGACAGCATCTGTATGCCATTTAGCTCCGTTCCTGTTTTCTTCCGATTTTCACCATACCTAAAACACAATCGTTTCAATGAAAAATCGAGGGGCCAAATATAAACAGAAATTATAAAGATGAAATAATGTGAAATATGAATGCAATATAATCATAAAATATAAATTTAATCGTCTGCAGAGAACAGGACCTTTGACACCTTTGTACGCTGAAGCAAATAAGGAGTGATTTTCGTCAAGTCGAGGAAATGAAGCGGGCTTTGAGTTTTCCAAAAAAAAGCAATCTGCGATATCTTCCAGAGTGAAATGTAAGGGGCTTTTCTGGAAAACTTTACATAAAGTTTTACAACAATTTTAAAACCAATGTGACGGACAGGGCCAGATTCACCTACTTGCCGCCCCCTTCTCATTCGTTTTGAAACATCAATACAAACCATCAGGTGAACGTGCGGCGGGGAGGGGTGCATAAGACGCGTATACTCGTGTTGGACACATTTTTTGCGAAGTCCTGTCAACATTACCAGCAAAAGTTCACGGAACTTTGTGCAAAAGTTAAGTTCCGTGAACCTCTCTCTATGTGAACAAGGCCTTCCATTCATGAGAAATGAACGAAAAAATTATGAAAGAACAAACTGACCGCACTGTGTCTGACGCAATGCGTGAAGTATTCATGCAGTCTTGTAGGCGCTATGCACTTCTGGCCGACCGCTGATGACCGCACTGTGTTTTACGCAATGCGTGGAGTATTCATGCAGGCTTGTAGGCGCTATGCGTTTCATGCCGACCGCCGCGCCACGCTGCTCCGTTCCAGGTTTAATTGCGTGTTTGGTTTCTCTCTTAACTCGACTAATTAAAGGTGTTGTCTCTTGTATCACCGAAAGACGACAAAATTAGAAATTACTATACTTTTACTCTCAGGAAATTAGAGATTTTGTCGCCTTTTCTCGTTTGTAATTTATTTTCTGGATCCGAATTTTTCTCTCTTTTTTTGATACCTACATTAAAAAAATTGCAAAATTTGCCGCCCCCTAAATTTTCCGCCATGGGCCGTGGCCCATGTGGACATCCCCTAAATCCGGCCCTGGTGACGAATCCGGACAGTAAGTTTTTATAAAGTCAACTTTTGCAAAGTTTACTTCTTGTTTTAAATGATTTGGAAAATCAATGATACATCAAAACTTTTGAAAATTTAATTATTTTGGAAGTTTTCGAGTTGTCCATACTCTCCCTATAAAGGTACTCTAATGAGGACCAAAGGGTTGATGACCAAAAGTCAGCTTGCCCACTGTGTCGAGATCGTATCCTAGTCATGGTGTCTGCTGATACGCCTTCATCGCATCAGACACCATTGTTTCGGACTCAAAGCGGTCCCGGCTCTCCGATGGATGATTGATCGAATTGATCGATATTGATTCGGGTATCCTGACCTGTTATTTACCGGTCGCGGCCGATTCGGGAACAGCGCGGCTGAGGAGGAGGGGGTGTGAGATTCGGATATACACATGTCATCGTGAAAAGTCGATTTGGACCTAATGATGATGCCGATCCTCGAATCGCCACTTTGAGAAAGAACGGCGTAGCTACACTTAGTCGTTGCCGATGTTCTACCGATAAATATTTGTATTTTTTTAGGTACACTGGAAAAAAAACACATTGGATCTAGAGTCCAGACTCTTGAAAATATTGACAAGAAAAAGGACTCTTGATTCAATCAGATTAAAGCTTAAATCAAAAGGAAATCCGCTCAAATTAAGAGCCTTGGTTCTTGATTTAAGCTGAAATCTGATTGAATCAAGAGTATTTTTTCTTGTCGATGTTTTTAAGAGTCTGGACTCTAGATCTAATGTGTTTTTTTTCCAGTGTATATATATTTTTCCTTGAAATTTTAAAAATAGGGGCCGTTTACAATATACGTAGCGTTGAAAATCTAATTTTTTTACCNTTTTTTTCCCCCCCCCCCCCAACTATTCACCTCTAAGTACTCGTAATCAGCGTCCCCCCTCCCCAAAAATAATACGTAACCCTCTTTTTGACACCCCCACCCGCTCAATTAATCGTTTCGTGATGAATTGAGGATGAAAAATTGCCACCCTGCGTCGATTTTCATCGTAAATTTTCAAGAAGTTGGTGCTACCTGGCCGCCGCGAACCTGGCGTTACGCTTCCCCTTACGTCGCACCCGTAACGCAGACTCAGCCCTTCCGTTTTGCCTAGAGCGTTACATTTTTTATGAACGGTCCCTCACGTAATCACATTGCAGAGACAATAATTCTCTGATGAGTTAAAAATGAAAAGCTCTCAAATCCTCCCGAAAATTCGAAGATTATTCATAAGAAATTAGGCAACACTCGAATACGCATGCGGCGTTTTTCCGTAGAACAAGGCAGTGATGTTGATAAATTGTACGTATTATGCTACAAAAAACTATGTGGATAGGGTTTGCGTGAGACATAGTTCCTTTCAGCATAAAAACGTCCAACTTTGATTTGGGGCCCGGTCAGATATTGGCGAAAAAATGAGCGGTTCAATGACCCGTAACGGAAATTTATGAGCGCAAGCTAGAAAAGGGTGAGCCATCGCGGCAGCTCACATCAATCCCAATGCAGAACTTAACACTGTTGCCAAATTGAATAGTTCCGATTTTCATATTTAATGGACCGTCTGAAATCAGTGTCGTGCATTTCAAAATTAAGTTTTGCCGGTTGCCCCTAACAGAAAAGGATAGTCTAAGAGCTGGCCAAGTGCATGAATCCGTGCATCCGGCTCTTCGAACAAAGTTGGACTCAACTCAATCCGTATGGGACTACGCATAAAAACACAGAAACAGGAACTAACACTATCATATGATTTTCAAAACCATTGTCTGGTTTTAGGGGCCGTACTTGAATCACAAAATGCTTTTTTTTGGGGGGGGGGGCTATACGTCACAAAAGCGTTACAAGGGGCAGAGAGGGGTAGGGGGTCAAAAATGCCGAAAAAGTGTACAGCGTAATTTAGGGACGGCCTCTTAATGGTAACCCTGAGGATCTATGAAAAATTTTCCCGAGTCCCGGGTGAGAGTTGATGAGTGAAATGTTTAGGATATTACCTCATGAACAAGTCATTGTATGCCAGTCTTGCTTTTTGCAATTACTGAATACAGAATTCTGCACCTGTCATTATCCGAAGATGAGTGTTGTTGTTGCTGCCTATTAGAAAATGATGTCCTCCCGAAAGTAAATTCTACCTCACGTGTTTACATTGCTCGGATATTAGTGGAGTCTTAAGGACATTCCGGCTCTTGTGACTTGTGAAACTCTTCCTTGCTCTTGCGGAATTTCCGGTACAAACATTACATCCTTTCGAATATGAGTGCTATCTTAGCCAGAATTGAAGGGAAGTATTTTCTGGAGATTCGGTGTGCCAACGTTCAGAAAATCTGAAAGAATTCTTCGAGACTGATCAGAGCCCTCATGAAAGGCCAACATTTAAAATATAAGAGGATGGGGAGATTTCTTGTCCCTCCCAAATAACAACCCTGATTGGTTTTAAAGTCGAACGATATTGTTGATTGTATTGGTCTCGTCGTTCAGACTCCGTCATTGTTACTAAGAAAAGGGGTATTTTTTGCATAGTAGTTTTTTCGTTCTCTTCTCTTCATAATTTATATTTTTTTTTTGTATATCTTATTGATAAATTGAGGCATTACATCGTGCTCTTTCAATCACTATCAATTTATGGACCGAGACTTTGGTTTGACAGGTAAAATCCTACGGACGACAATGCGACATAGAAACCCTCATTACAATTTATAAAACCAATTTTTTTTTTTTTTTTTTTTTTTTTTTTTTTTTTTTTTTTTTTTTTTTTGTTGTCAATGCATGCCATGGCAACTGATGTTTATTCCAACGGGTAATCCTAAAAATATCAAGAACTGAGAGTTCACTAGGAAAAAAAAAAAACTCTTTGTTCAAAAGTCCAGACTCTCATTAGTTTGATAAGAAAATACTCTTGATCCAATCGGATTTCTGCTTGATTCAAAAGGCAATCCGCTTAAATTATGTGGCTTGGCTCTAATCTCAATTCAAGCAAAAATCCGGTTGAATCAAGAGTGTTTTTCTGTCAATTTTTTTGAGAGTCTGAATTATAGATCCAAGATACATTTTTTCCTGTGTTTGAACATTTTAAGCCAACATGGCAGTGGTGCGCCCCCCGCCGAGTGCGTTGTATGCCGTGTGCCAGACTCCCTCCGATCGCTGATTTTGATTTACAGGAACATTCTGCCGATTGGAGGAGCCTGGTGCGTTGACGATACATGTGTTCTCCTCCGGTGAGATGGCGATGCTACTCAGGTGGACTTACATTGGTTAATCAGAAATGTATAGAATAAAGTTAGAGGCCGTAAAAAGCTAAGGACTGAGGGCAAAGTCATTCTCGAAGGGAAAGTCAAGTGTGCCTTTCCCCCGCAATGTAAAATCAAACCACTCCATGTGGTTCTTTTCAGATTAACTAGGGATGGATTATCATTGAATTTGGTCTGATTGTTCAAAAGGTCATCTTTTATTTGACAAGTAATCTTTTTGATTGCTTCGAAATTCGAATTTCAATAGATTTTTTGTCATGGGAACGGAGTTCCCCATGATATTACAATCGTTCCGTTGCTTTCGCTATGGGATTCCCTATACCTCTGCGACCTTGAGCGTTTCGCCCAGTCTCCGATTTTTGGTTGATTTTCCGATGTATCAAAAACCGTTGTATTTTTTAGCCAATCGTGTCTCTACGTCAAGTTGTGTTGATTGCTAAAATTCGCTTTCAGCGAGTTTTTTTCCACCTTCAGATGTCGTGTCTGACTGGTAAATCTGCGCAGAACCACGAAGTTCCGTTTTTAGGCAAATTCCTTTTTTTGGGAGGTTCTGATTGGTTATTTTTCGCCATCAGTTTTCTGTTCGTTGGTGCAAAAGATCGCCTACCTCGTTGCTCTTGAGAAGCCGCCATTATCCCACCTCAAATTTGAAAAATAGAAGTAAAGAAATAATAACCATCGTACAAGGTGGAAAATTGTTCTGGAGGACTCGTTACGGA